AACATTGATTAATAAATAAAATTTTCAGTTTGTAGGCTTTTATTTTGTGTTTTAAATGCTACAAAGAGGTTACCTCTGTGGGCCTGTTGATAAATGTGCTTATTTTCACCATTTTGAGAAATCTTATAAAGGATACGTATGTCTGTAAAATGTTGTGTTATATGTATTGATGAGTTTTGTTAGTCTGCTAAAATGGCAGTGTATGACATGGAGTTTATAATTACTTACCCTCTAGTTTAGTGTGACATAAAAGTTACTTTGGTTAAAAGTTACAATTAATACAAACGATTGAGACTATACTTAGGAGCAATAGTTTCAGAGAAATAAAATTGTGCACATGCTTTTGTTTTTTGAGGAAAAGAGTAGTCTCTTCCAAAAACAGCCATTCTCAGTGTTTTTGGGTCTATGAACACTGAACTACATTTCCACCAGCAATGTCTAATTCAGTTTCTCTCTATCCTCACCAGTATTTGGTGTTGTCATTATTTTTTATTTTAGCCATTCTCTTGGGTGTGAAGTGATATCTCATTGTGGTTTTAATTTGCATTTTTCTAATGGCTAATGATGTTGAACATCTTATCATGTGCTGTTTGGCATCTGTATATCTTCTTCATTTTTTTCCCCTGTGTTCTAAATAGACTCTGCTTTTTTACTTGTTGAATTTTGAGAGTTCTTTATATATTGTAGATACTCATCCTTTGTGTTTTGCAAATACATTCTCCTACTCTATGGCTTGTCTTCGCATCTTCTTGACAGTTTTTCACAAGAGCAAATATTTTTAATTTTGTGATTCAGTTTATCAGTTTTTCCTTTCATTGATCATGCTTTTGGTTTCAAAGGTTAGGAACTCTATGCTTAGCTCTAGATCCTTAGCATTTTCTCCTAGTTTTTTCCTAAAAGTTCTATAGTTTTGTTTTACATTAAATTTATTATCTATTTTGAGCTGATTTTTGTACCAACTGTGAAACCTTGGTCAAAACAAGTTTTTTGTTTTTGTTTTGTTTTTGTTTTTTGCCTATATGTGTTTCTCCAGAACCATATGTTGAAAAGCCTATTTGCGTTAGTCCACATGTTCATTGCTAATTTATAGAAATACAGTTGATTTTTGAATGTTTATCTTTATCTTGAATCTTGTATAACTCACTTATTTGGCATTAAGATCTTTTATGTAGAATTCTTGGGATTTTCTTTGTAGATAATCATGTTATCTGCAAATAGGGACAGTTTTATTTTTCCTTTCCAGCTCCATATTGAATATCAGTGATGTGAGCAGAATTTTTGCCTGTTTCTGATCTTAGAAGGAAAACATTGTCTCATTAAATGTAATGTAATGTTAGCTGTAGGTATTGTGAATGTTCTTTACCAAGTAAGTGGAGGAAGTTTCCCTCTCTTTTTTTTTTCCTGAGACTTTTTATCATGAATGGGTGTTGAGATTTTGTCAAATGACTTTTCTGCATCAATTGAGATAATCATGTGAGTTTTATATGCAGATAACATTGGTTGATTTTCAAATATCAAACCAGTCTTGCATCTCTAGAATAAATCCAATTTGTCAGGGTGCACAATTTTTAAACATATTGAGTAACCGTACTTGCTAATATTTTCTTAAGCATTTTTTGTGTCTATATTCATAAAGGATATCGGTTTTCTTTTTTATAGTGTCTTTGTTTGATTTAGTATCAGGATAACAGTAGAGTCATAAAATGAACTGGGAAGTGTATCTTCTTCTATTTTCTGGAGGAGATTGTGTAGAATTGGTATAGAATTGTGCAAAAATATTTGGTAGAGTTCTCTAGGACACTATCTAGGCCTGGAGATTTGTTTTGGGGAGTTAAGTTATAAATTTTATTTCCTAAATAGTTATGGTTCTATTCAAATTGTCAGTTTCCTATTGTCCAAATTATGGTAGCTTGTATTTTTCAAGAAAGTGGTTTATTTCATTTAAGTTGTCAAATTTATGTTTGCAGTACTTTGTTATCCTTTTGATGTTTTCAGAATCTGTTGCAGGAAGTTCTGTTTCATTCTTAATATTGGTGATTTGTGCACTTTCTTTGTCATTTTTCCTAGAAGTTTGTCAATTTTATTTTTTCAAAGAACTAGTGCTTTGTTTCATTTTATTTTCTCTTAAGTTTTTCTGATTTTAATTTCATCGATACATACAAGATGTGATCATTGGTATCTACTGTTGGAACTCTCCATTCACAGATACTCACAAACTCAATACTCTTGTATTGTTGTCATGTAGTTACAGACTTTATTTTCCTAAGCTTTCACAAAATAAAGTAAGTATGTGATTGAAGAGAGGCTCAGCATTCCTACTCTGTTCTGGATAAACTTAACTCCATTCCCTTATCATTCAAGGCCAAAATGCTGAGAGTTCTTGCTCTTGGGCATCTTTTGTCCTCTGGCAACATCTCTTCGTTCTACTCTCCAGCACAGCACAGCACATGCTGTTCTGGCACACTAAATCTAACAGAGGAAATTTTAAGTGTAAACAATATGTATTTGCATATTTGAGATAGAATACTAATATGTTTTTACATTGTAACATTCTATTTCTGGGAACATGGTTAAAGCAGGAATATTTTCTAGCATTTTCTTGACATGATTCCTCTTACCTTCCTCCTTATTAAAAAAGAAAACATTAGATTATCCTTCCTCCAACTGGACTGATTCTTGGGCTTATGATTCTTCAGAATTAGAATACCTAATACTTGAACACAGAGCTCACTCCAGGTCAGACACTGTATTAACCACACTACATGCACTATCTCTTTAATTTTTATGATGTCATTATAAGAATATTACCCCAATATAAAATTGAGATAATAAAAAGACAAGAAAACGGATTTCAAAGAAGTTGAAAGATAACTTGCCTGCATTCACACAGCTACTTAGTTCTTGAGCCTGCACTAGAATCTGTGCTTACCTGAAGCGCTATCCTAATCCTACATTATACTATCAATTCCAGAACTAGCTATTACTGTAACCTTTTTGTCTTTGAAGAAAAATAGGTCTTTGTGTTTTGGCCACTATGTAAGTACTATATGCCTAACTTAGCTAATATTCCTACAGCTCAGTTGCCAGGCATCTTGTGTTTTCTGTAGCTTCTCTCTCCTCTTTCTCTCTGCTTCTAGACCCTGCTCAAAATTTGTTTCTCTGTTCTTAATGTTAATTAGAGGACTCAAACATTGTTTTCTCTTCCTCTTTTCTTCTAAATATCTTTCCTCTACAATTTTTAAGATTCCCATACAGCTTTCATGTGCTCATATGAGAAACTCACAGTATAAATGCACATTTTAAAAGACAGTTGCCATTTTAAAGGCAATTTTATTTATTGCTTTTCTTGCTATTTATAGCTTTCCTTAAATAGTTCTTAGACTTAAGAACCTTCCATTTATATACTTACATATATTTTTAGGGTTTCTAAACCAGGACCCAAGACACCTACCCATCACTATAGAGTGGGGAAATATTCTGAATATTAAATAAATGTTATATTCTTCCTACTTAACGATGTCAATATTAAATATTTATCAAATAACTATTTAATTGAGTGTCTATATGTCAGATACCACCCTAGACACTACCTTTTACCCTTCCACCCAAACTTTTTTTGGTGAAAGAACACTTTTTAATATTAAAAATAAGTTTTATCAATATAATAATATATAAATTCATTTTAGAAAAATAAAAAAATACAAACCAAAAAATTAGGAAATAAACACCAACACTTTTAATACTTTTATGAATATCCTTCCAAATTTTATCTATATGTTTGAACTGTTAAAATTTTTTTCAATTAACACTATGTAATAAACATTCTTCTACATTAATGGTTGTTAAAAGGTTAAGAATAGTTCGTTTTGTGGGTGTACAATAGTTTTAAAATCACAGTTCAATGTTGGATTCAGCCTATTGGTAACTTTCTGAATTACAATGCAAAGACTATGTTGAATGTCATTGCAAAATTTTCCTAACGTGTCCTTAGGCAGATTCTTATAGTCTCAGAAATAGCATTTCTAATGGGCTGGTGGACGTTTTCCAGATCTCAAAGAATTATCGTTTGATTAGTTAAGTTTGCAGTTTATACATTCTAAGGAGATCCTTTGTGTATGAAGTTCAGCATAATTAACCAGTTAGCTCAAACCTTAACTCTTGAAAAGTGTGTGTCCTTTATTCAATAAACCCTGATAGAATTCTTGACATGGGATGCAAAGATGAATAAGAGCTTGTGCAGTGCAGGTTAACACTTTACTGTAATACGCTGATTTTTTATCAAATATAATACAATGGGCTTAAATTCTGCAGTAGACGGATGCACATGACTCTTAGGCTGTGTTGAAGCCTAAGGCAGTGTACAAAACAGCGATTACTTGCAACATTTCTTACTGAGAAAAGAATGTACTTTTTATTTAATATTTGGTGGTTGAGGAAAAGATACAACCCATCGCCTCTCTTCCTTGATTACTCAGGTTTCTCGGTCACATAGCCGCGTGCAGTTTGCTTACTTTTAGCATGTAAATCTGGAGGAAATAGTCTAACTCTGTATCGAAGTAGAAGAAATTTAGAAATGACTGGTATAGCTAACATGAGAAGAACAAAAATCACACTAACGGAATCTTGTCCTGACACGACAAAAAAGACGTCACTTGGGATAACCATAACGTCAACACTGTGGCGTCACGCCTATAAGCGGAGGCGGTAAAGTGTTAAGGTCAGCACAGGCCTCCATGTTTCAGTAGACAGCGCAAAACCTGGCTGAGTTTTCAGGTGGTGCCACCGACCGCCTCCGGGCTCAGAAGACAGAAGAGACGAGGACAGCCGTTAGGAACTGCGTTTGCGTCATGCCTGAGAGCGGACGCACAAATCTACGTCTCCAAGCACTCCCTCGAGGCCCCGCCCACTCCTCGTCCTAGAGCCCGCTGGGGGGCCCCGGGGGGGCGTGGCCAAGGTTGAGGCGAGGAGAATGCGCAAGCGCAGTCAGAACCCAGTCAATTAGCCAACTATTAATCTCGCGAGGGTTGAAAGTCGGTGGCGTAGATAGTTGTCCTGGATGCTGCCGAGGTAGATGATTTCTCCCAGAGGAAGAAAAGGAGGCGGCGAAGCTAGTTCCCGGCGTCGGTCTCTCTTTCGCTTTCCTTTCCCCTAACTCCAACCCTCCGCCCTCCCGAAATCAACCCGCCTTCCCTGACCTCGGTGACCCAAGTGGCCCCGCCCACTCCCGTCGACGTGATTCCCGCCGTGAGGTAAGCGCCGGTCGAATCCCGAGCCCCGCGGAAGAGGAGGCAGACGAAAGGGGGAGGCTGCTCGGCCCGGCTCAGGCTCGTAGCGGAGCCGCAGCGCAGGGGGGCGTTCGGGTGGTCCTCTCGCTCCTCCGTCAGCTCGTGGCGACGTAACCACCCAGGCCTAGGCCTCATCTCTGCCGAGCCGGGCCTCAGGCAGCAGCGGGTGACGCAGACGGAACATCATGTCGTCCGCGGCCGAGCCTCCGCCACCCCCGCCTCCCGAGAGCGCGCCTTCCAAGCCCGCAGCCTCGGCCGCCAGCAGCGTGAGCAACAGCAGCAACAAAGGGGGCCCGGAGGGCGTCGCGGCCCAGGCGGCTCCCTCTGCGGCTAGCTCCGGCCCCGCGGACTCCGAGATGGAGGTGAGGGTGGCTTGTGGCGCGGGGAGAGGGCGCAGTGGGGAGGAGGAGCTGGTTCCCTCGGCTGGATTTTGGTGATCAGACGCAGAGCCATACTCCACCCCTCCTGCGTCCAAAGTCGGCCTCAGACCCTTAGGATCCGAAATGATTCACACTTGCGCCCTTGTGCTTAACCTACGCACGCCGACTCCGATGGATTTCTGGCACTTCACATTTGCATTATTTGTCTTTTTAGCGAGCCTTGCCAAATCTCCAACGCTATTATTAAACAGATGTTATTGATTACTGAGGCCGAGAGGAACCTACCCGGTTATGTGTGTGTGGGTTTTTTTTTTTTTTTCGGTAGATTCCCATAATTCCCTCACCCATCTCCTGTTCTAGCTTTTAGTTTCCACTAAACTTGCGGGAAGGGAGAGGGAGATGCCACTTGATAGGGAAGGATGCGTGGGGTGGGGAAGGCATTTAAAAGCAGCGCATCCGAGGACTCAGGCCTCCTTTTCTTCATCCCGGTCCTTGCGGGGGCGGTATCTGTTCTGGGCAGAAACAATGGCTAGAGCTGGATGGCCGAGTGCGCAGTGGGGATAAGCGGGGCGCAGCTGCTCCTGTGAAGGGAGAGGAGGCTCCTCTCAGGCACTGTTCCTTAGGGAGGTAAGCGACCAGGGCAGCAGCAGCTGTCTTGCACCTCCCATCTAATTTGGGTAGGGGGATGAATGAGTGAATGGATGAATTAGTGAGTCGGGGGCGGTTGGCTTTCAGTCCAGCGCAATTCCTCTTTTTGGGCCTTGGCCTTTTTTTTTCTTTTTTTTGAAAATTGGTACTGTTCGCTTGCCGAGCCTGCCTTCAAGGGCTGGGGTTGGCCCGGGGATGGTGACAGTGCTGCGGGGGTGGAAAGTTTGGGGAGCTGCCAGGCGGGTCTCTTGGGTGTGCTCCAGGACTTTGAGAGGTCTGGGAACAAAGTGATTGCTTGCTCCTTCCAGATTTTATTCTTGGCCTTCGATCTGTTTTGAGATATTTTATAGTCGCAGCCCAAGGATTTCTGGGATTTTTCCATCCTTAGATAGAAGGAGTGAAGGTAATATTGCTCTAAAAAAAGGGATCCTTGATGCAGAATTAACACAATAAGTAAATGGAAGTGCAGTTTAACACTTAAGAGTTTGGCGCACCCAAGTTTTACTTGGGCATCAAAGGTCTAATCTAGCGTGAATTAACATTATGTTAGTAGTTTGTAAGAGAACTTTTTGGTGAGGGTAGGTTTTAGTGCAATAGGACGTTGATATTCTGTACTTTTAAGTGATCTGATTTTTGTTTCAGGTTCTTATCTAGTGTTGTTGCCTATTTTTCTTAAGGTTTTAAATGGTTCTTTTGGATTACCAGAGCTGTTTAACTTGGATTCATGCTCCACGGTTTAAGGGGGTTTGGAAATCTTTGACAGTGAAGGCAATTGTGTGTAAACGGACAGGTCTCTGCAAAATGCTGTCCATAGTTTTCATCAGCTTCTCAAAAGGGTCTGTCGTTCAAATTTTGGAATAGCAACCATTGTCTTACTAGAGATGTTATTTAAATATCAGAAAGAGTAATTTAAAGCCTAAACTGGCTTTCAGTTGCTGTTTTTAAATTTAAGTGGAATTCAAGTTTAAGTATGGATATTGATGTGATAACGAGTACCAAATGAAGTCTGGGCCATATTTATTTGCCAGATGAAGAAATTGAGTCTTCTGATAAGTAGAATCTGTGATAGAACCCAGGTCTGGCTCTGAAACTGACCCATTTCCCACAAACCTTACCCTGTCATATACTTAAGAAGGATGTTTGACAATTTTATTTCTTGAAGAATGACTTAGTTATTTTTACCTTTTTACCTAATGGTGTGTTAACTGTTATTTTTACCTTTTCATGTATAGGAATATGAGTAATTTAATCTTTTATCAGTTTCTTCACTGACTGGTTTTAGTCTTGATGTTTTTCTCTTCATGTTATAGTTGATTTAAAAAAATTTTTTTTGAAGATTTTATTTTTTTGACAGAGAGAGCGAGAGAGCGAGCGAGCACAAGCAGGGGGAGCAGCACGCAGAGGGAGAGGGAGAAGCAGGCTGTCTGCTGAGCAGGGAGTCCAACATGGGGCTGGATCCCAGGACCCTGGGATCAAGACCTGAGCTGAAGGCAGACGCTTAACTGACTGAGCCACCCAGGCAGCCCTAAAAAATTTTTTTAAAGTAAAAAAAAAAAAAAATTTTTTTTTAAAGTAAATGTACATTATCTTTTTCCTAAATGAATTGGGAAATCATTGAGGTTCACTGATAAATACTAGGTTTGGGCATATATGTGTAATATGTCTGGCAATCTTAAACGCCTTTTTCTTGTATGAAAGTAGAATTTAAGTTCGGTACTTTTCAAAATTAGAAAATAAGTGAAAATTTGCATTCACAAATTGTTTCTGACAAGGTGGACCTTCCCAGAAATATTAGCTACCTTTCCTATGTATTCAGTTAAATTTTCATTTTTGCTTGGTGTACTGGTAAGTCAGGGGAGTAATTTCGTTTTTTATTATGATTTTTTTGGCAACGTGGATGGAACCTGTCTTTTTGTCTTTCGCTGTTGATTAGACTAATAGGTAGGTATACATATGCCAACAGGGTAGACTGATAGATAGGCACACTGTATACCAAATAATCATATGACCTCAGCCCTGGAGTCCAAATCCTTTTTTTTTTAAACTATGAAAGAAATGACTACTGTTGTTTATTATGGTATATTTTGACCTTTTAGGATATCTAGTACTATTCTGTGAAGTAGGCTAGTAAGTGGTTTTATCATTTTTATTCGAGGACACCAGAGATCTGCGATGAGCTTTAAAGGTAACACAGATGCCTAAAGATCTTAGCAGTGAAGTTAGATTAGAATTTAGGTAATTTGATCTCTTAATTCTGGTACTATACCAGCTCCAGTCCCCCAATTTTTTAATCACAGGTAACTTTAGTACATACTTCCAAGCGCGGATTTGTACATTGTTAATGAAAACTATACTTTTAACTATTGTTCTTTAGTTGTTTTTTTGACACATGAGTAGAACTTTGCAGAGTAGTTGTTGCTGTTTCTTTGTGGCATTTTGAATGTCAGGTCGAATAAATTATAAGAAAGGATATTTATTACTAATTTGTAGTTACGGAGTTTTCGATTTAGGATGCGTGATAAATTTTTTGTATTTTCCCAGAAGATGGAAATCAGGGTGGCTAATGATGGTAATTTTTAGGTGGGTATTTGTATAGAAGCACAGTAGATACTGCAGTTTTATGATTAAAAGGGAACATGATTTCTTCACATTATATACTCTTTAATTTGGTTTCATAATAGTTATTGAATAGAAAAAGAAACCGATTTGTTGAAAGTTATTCTGTTCTAGCTTGATGTAGATAATAGTCTTGTGTTTTAATCTTGGCCAATAGCCATGCAGTTTACATAATTGAGTTAAATAGGTTGTTATCATCATGGCATTTAATTTCATCAAGATACCCTGTCAGGTTAGATTATAGCCATTTAAGTACCTAGCAAGTTTGGGATAGAAATGCATTACTTAGAATGTGTTTTGAGCAGAAATTAGCTTAATAATGGTGTGTTAACTGTTTTTGAAGAACAATCCATGATTTTTTCCTCCTACCAGGAAGTATTTGATGATGCATCTCCTGGAAAGCAAAAAGAAATTCAAGAACCAGATCCTACCTATGAAGAAAAAATGGTATGCTCTAGTATATGAATAGAGTCTATAATAACTTTTAATTAGGTAATCGAATGGACCAAAATTCTGCATTAAATTTTTATAACTGAGGCACAGATATCCATTTGAAATATGTGTAACATGGGATACTATAATTTTTGTTACTTGCCTATGTAAAGCAAATATAGAAATATTACATGAATGCACATAATAGTATTATGTAAATATATGGGATATGTTACTCCCCTTTATTTTAAGATTTAGTGTCAGGGAGTGAGGAGAGTAAAAGAGCAGAGTAGTAGTTATTCAAGGTGTATTCTGCATCTGTCATTCTATTCCACTGGGTACAAAGACAATAATATATGCTCCTTGCCCATAGCTTTTTTATAATACGGTGAGATCTTTACAAAAAGAGCACATGATGTTATTTTACTTGGATCCTCGAGGACCCAGCTCACATTTCATACCTTAGAAAACTTTTTTAGCATGACTTAACCATGACCTACGAAGAGCTTTAAACTTAAATTGAGATTCAGTAATAATAATGGCTAATAGCAAATGCTTACTATGTACTAGGCCTTTTTCTGAGTGCTTTATGTGGATTAAACTCATTTAATTGTACTGAAATCTTAAAAAGTTAAAATAACATGTTAAATAGTAATACCAGTATGCAGTATAACTGTGCTCTCTAAGAGTAAAAACAGTGTCTTAATCTGTCTTCCAACACCTAGATCAATGTCTGGTACGTAATATATTTTAACAAATATTTTTTGAAACTTACTTTCTCTTCAACCTTTGATCTTCTCTTCAAGATCAGTAAATATTTTTGAATCTCTTACATAGCTTCAAAGTCCTAAAAATAAATGCATTTTTTGAATACGTGTATATGTGTATGCATACATAATGTGCATGATAAACAGTAGTATGTAAAAATATAAATGACATTTTTATTTTTTATTTTAATTCCAGTATAATTAACGTACAGTGTTATATTAGCTTCAGGTGTACAATATAGTTATTCACTAATTCTGTACATTACTTAGTGCTTATCACCTATTTTACCCCCCCCGTAACCACTAGTTCTCTATATTTAAGAGTCTGGTTTTTTCTCTTGTTTTGTTTCTTTTTTTAAGTTTGTTTTTTTTTTTTTTTAAAGATTTTATTTATTTATTTGACAGAGTGACAGTGAGAGAGGGAACACAAGCAGGGGGAGTGGGAGAGGGAGAAGCAGGCTTCCCGCCCAGCAGGGAGCCCGATGCAGGGCTTGATCCCAGGACCCTGGGATCATGACCTGAGCCGAAGGCAGACGCTTAATGACTGAACCACCCAGGCGCCCCTCTCTTGCTTTGTTTCTTAAATTCACATATGAGTGAAGTCATATGGTATTTGTCTTTCTCTGACTGATTTCTTTCTTTCTTTCTTTTTTTTTTTTAAAGATTTTATTTATTTGACAGAGAGACATCAGGAACACAAGCAGGGGGTGGTGGGAGAGGGAGAAGCAGGCTTCCCGCCTAGCAGGGAGACCGATGTGGGGCTCGATCCCAGGACCCTGGAATCATGACCTGAGCTGAAGGCAGATGCTTAATGACTGAGCCACCCAGGCGCTCCTCTGACTGATTTATTTCACTTATCATTATACTTCTTAGGTCATCCATGTTGTAAATGGCAAGATTTCATTAAATGACATCTAAGATTTCTATTATATTTTATATATGTGTATATCTCTAATTGTCCCATATCTTTTCTTTGCTGTCAAGCTCAAAGAAAAAGATATATTTGCCAGCTCTACTTTTCCCATTCATTTCTTCAAACCCTTCACAATTTATGTTCTGTTGTTAACAGTGTACTAGTGAATCTAATTTCCAATTTATAGTTTAATTTTACTTTCATTCTTAATCTCACTTCTCTGATATTGTCGACCACATTTGAAATATGTGTAACATGGGATACTATAATTTTTGTTACTTGCCTATGTAAAGCAAATATAGAAATATTACATGAATGCACATAATAGTAT